AATAAATAAGTCGTAAACCAATAACACGGTTGTATTGAAATAGCTCCAACGAAGTTCCATATCTCTATGAGTGCGACCTACATATGAGTTGGAAGCTATTTTTCTAATGTAGTTAAATATAGACTCAAATATAAAAACATAGGCTTCTTGATAAAAAATTAGATCTGTACTTAATATTGTACTTAAAAAAATATATAATGTTAGTCTGCATAAATAATATATTTCTATATATTTACATTTTAGCGTGAAACTAAGTCGATGTCTCGTAGACGTCGCATGGATAGTAAGAATGTACCTCATAATATGAGCAAACGTGATATGATACGTGCGGCCGACTTTAATTTCATCAAAGTTCTCGGCAAGGGTTCATTCGGCAAAGTACTTTTAGGCGAACGTCGTGGAACTGATGAACTGTACGCTATAAAGGTTCTACGTAAAGACGTCATATTGCAAACAGATGATATGGATTTGCCAATGACAGAGAAACAAGTATTGGCCTTATCGGGAAGATCACCATTTTTGGTATCTCTACATTCTTGCTTTCAAACTATGGTGAGTTTTGTTGAATTATGGAGAGTAATAGCGAACTATGGTGAGTTTCGTTGGATTCTTAGTAGTGGTAGCAACTTAAAAAATATAAGGATAATGAAGACCTTTCTTTATATAGTACATTGTGACCGAAAAGTTTCCGGTCACATAAATAAAACGCAAAATTCTTAATCTTCATCAATATTTATTTTATCTCCTTCAAAATATGCTCCATTAGAAGCGATACACAAATGCCAACGTTTCTTCCATTATCAAACATTTTTTATAGGCGCTTTCCGGTATGGCTTTGAGTTCCCTCTGCGAATTCTGTTTTACGTCTTCTATGGATTCAAAACGCGTTCCTCTGAGTGGTAATTTGAGGTTGGGAAACAGGAAAAAGTCACACGGTGCAAGATCAGGTGAATACGGTGGCTGTTCGATGGTATTTATTGAATGTTTGGCCTTAAAATCGTTGATAATGTTGAACAAATTGAGGTGAATCGGAACAAGCCGGGCGTTGACACGTCGCATACACAAATTGTCCACCAAAATCAAACGAGCCATCTCACGACCGATGCCTAGCTCTCGTGCTATCTCTCTAACACTCACATGAGGATTTTTGAACACGATTTCCTTTGCCTTTTCAATGTTTTCGTCGGTGGTAGAGGTCGAAGGTCGTCCAGAACGCGGCATGTCTTCGACGGTCGTACGACAGTCCTGAAAGGCTTTGTACCACTCATAAACTTGAGTTTTCGATAAAACTGATTCCCCATAAGCCTTTTGTAGCATTCGCAACGATTCTGCACACGAAATTTCGTTCGAAAAACAAAATTTGATGCAAACTCTTTGTTCAATATTTTTTTCCATTGTTTTTTTCGCAACGCACTACTGAGGTGAACTGGTTTCAACAGCTGCCGTAAACGAACTGTCTGAAGATCGCGCTCATTTTTGGCATAGTTTAAGGACAGTGCTGGGCCAAAGCTACATAAACTTAAAATATCGAAAAATATACAGCGCGCGAATTTTAAATGAGAATTTCCGAAAGCTTTTCGGTCACAATGTATGTCATAATGTACATATATTGATTGAAGGAAGAAAATTATAAAAGCTTAAAATGAATAAGAATATGATTAATTAAAATTATATATTATATTTTTCATATACAGGATAGATTATTTTTCGTCATGGAGTATTGTAAGGGTGGGGATCTTCTATTTTATATGCAACAATATGGACGTTTCAAAGAATCAGTTGCTATGTAAGTACTATTATTTTATTTTTTAAGTTCCTGTAATCTATACTAAATTAAAAACTTTTACTATTCCAGTTTTTATGCTGTGGAAATCGCTTTGGCACTTTTCTTTTTGCATGAAAATCAAATAATCTATCGAGATTTGAAATTAGAAAATGTTCTTGTAGAGATGGATGGTCACATTAAGTTAGCAGATTTTGGTTTAAGCAAAGACGCTATCGATGAGAGAGAAACTACAAGAACTTTCTGTGGTACTCCACTTTATATGGCACCAGAAGTAAGACGAGTTTAATTCCTTCATAAAATTAATTTATTATAAATACTTCACTATAGGTTATAAGTTATGAACCATATAACAACACTGTGGATTGGTGGTCTTATGGTGTTTTATTATACGAAATGCTCTCTGGCCAATCTCCATTTGATGGTGATGATGATACTATTATTTTCAAGAACATTAAAGAGAAAAAAGCGATCTTCCCGAAACACTTCTCGCAAGAAGCAATGGATATTATTACGAGTGTAAGGCAATATGATATTATCATTATTATATCTTTAAATTTCATTAAAATTTTTTTATATTAGTTAGCAAAAAAAATGTATTTTTTAATAATGTCAGAATA